AATGTCAACGTAAGAGTGCTTGTTGAGAAAGGAGACCCTGATGACGAAGTGTGAAGCCAAGATCGACCATGCCAGTCTGTTAAATGGCCAAAACCTCAACTGAGCTGATGGGAGCCGACTTTGGTCAGTGAATGCTTGAAGAAACTGCTCGTTGAAGGTTGCGTGAATTGGTGTGTGAGAGCTGTGTTTAGGACAACTGGACTTTACTGAAAGTGTCAATATGCCAATAAACTTATGTCTCGTAAGCTTACATAGGTGTCGGCTTGTACCAGTTATGTAACGTGGAGTGTGTGAGAAGAACATTCACGACACACACATGAACACCACCTAGACAACGAGAAATATAAACACCACTTATTACACTTAACAACAGAAATGTCAGTAAAGATAGACACTGAAGTTTCTGGTGTCTCTGTCTCCTGTTTCATGACTGGTGTCTCTGTCTCCTGTCCTACGACTTGTGTCTCCTGTCCCATAACTGGTGTCTCTGTCTCCTGTCCCATGACTGGTGTCTCTGTCTCCTTTCCCATGACTGGTGTCTCTGTGTCCTGTCCTATGACTGATGTCACTGTCTCCTGTCCCATGACTGGTGTCACTGTCACCTGTCCCATGACTGGTGTCTCTGTCTCCTGTCCCATGACTGGTGTCTCTGTCTCCTGTCCCATGACTGGTGTCTCTGTCTTCACATCCATGATCAAACCCTGAAGTATTTCAAAAGTTGTCAGGAGACTGTTGACCTTTCACACGACCGGTGTCTCCACACCCAGGATCTAACCCTGAACCATTTCAAAAGTTGCCCGGAGACTGTTGACCTGTCGCATTGCCAGTGTCTCTGTCTTCACACCCAGGATCTAACCCTAAGCCATTTCAAAAGTTGCTTGGAGACTGTTTGCATGTCATGTCCTAGAAAATTAATTGTTGTAGTCTTCCTATATTTCTGTACTGCTAGTATAAACATACTCACACATTCATGTATACATTTACTCACACAAACTCTCATACATACAACTATAAACCCAAACATACACTAATACATGGACACATGTACCCTTGAATATAAACACACACACATAACTGCAAAAACATTCACCTTTCCCTTGTTGATGTGCACATCAGGCACCCGGTAGGTTTCCCTGCCAATCTGTGGGTACATGCTTTCAACACTTTTCTGCAGGTACTCCACCAGCGCCACCTGTCGAAACCTCTCTGTATAAGGGACGTTGATGTTGTCATTCTCAGCTATATTCAAGACCAGGTCTCGGACTTGTATATCCTAGACAGGGTTATCGGGGCACAGTTATCTTTTAGGTGTGTGCAGATTGTTTGTGTCTCTGTGTATGTTAATGTTTGGGTGTTTGAGTCTATGGCTGTGTGTGTTAATGTTTGGGTGTTTGAGTCTATGGCTGTGTGTGTTAATGTTTGGGTGTTTGAGTCTATGGCTGTGTGTGTCTGGGTTTGAGTGTTCATGTGTGTGACAGAGAGAGACAGACATGGATACAGACTTATACAGACATAAACAGTGAGACAGAGAAAAATATAGACTTGGAGAGACAGAGAAAAGCACAGAGAGAAACACACAGAGAGAGACACACAGAGATAGAGAGAGATACACAGAGACAGAGAAACATACTTAGAGAGACACTGAGTCAGGGAAAAGCCCAGAGAGAGACACACTCACAGACAGAGAGAGATTTAAAGAGACAGAAACAGACTTAGTGAGACAGAGAAGCACAGAGAGAGACACACAGAGACAGAGAGAGACACAGAGAGAGACTTAAAGAGAATGAAACAGACTTAAGGAGACAGAAACAGAGAGACAGAGACAGACTTAAAGAGACGGATCAGACACAGACATGGAGAGAGACATATATAGACAGACAGAAACAGAGAGTCAAAAACTTAGAGAGACAGAAACAGAGATAGACAGAGAAAGAAAAATATAGTGGACTTAGAGAGACAGAGAAACAGAAAGTAACAGACAGAGAGACTTAGAGACAAGAGAAACAGAGAAAGACAGTGACAGAAACAGACATACACATGTGAGACAGACAGAGACAGAGACTCTGAGACCAATAGAGAGAGAGAGAGAAAGAGAGACAGGAAGTGATAAAGAGAGACACCATGGTATAGAGATATGGGAAAAACAAAGAGAGATAGAGAAAGACTCTAAGAGACAGAGACAAAGAGAAAGACAACGACCGAGAGACAGTGACTGGCAGAATGCAGAGAGACAGAGACAATGAAATTGAGAGCGATACTCAGCAGGATTTAAAAAAAAAGTATTCTAAAACAGTTATAAGCTGTTAGTCATCAGGTGAAGTTTTGATTTCACAGCAGACCTAACTTCCTCTGACTGTTCCTTTCCTGTGCCAACGGAAATAACTCAAGATGCCCTCCACTGTCCCATTTACAAATACAGTGATGAACATATCAGTCCCAGCAAAATCTTTCAGCTTGCACACACAAAGTAAAGACATCAGACAACCATCATACATACCAACACTAACAGACTCTCAACATAATTGCAGCCTACTGTTGAAATAAATCATGAAAGCCAATATTGCATTACTGTCAAGTACATGTCATTATTAATTCAACTGGCCACCAGCCATTTTCAGTGCAGTTCAATACACAAAACTGCCACAGGCATAAAAGACAAAATATTCCAAAGGAAATCAACAGCAAACAGTGTCGCACCAAGCACTCAACTCAGTCCATGCCCAAAAACTAAAAATTGCATCACCAGACGGCTGCTAGAAACAATAAACTTTTCAAACCGTGTTTGGCCAGCCAGCCTATGTGGTATACTGGGCTGCAAGTATCTAACAGTTATAAGTTGACTGTCAACACTACTTACAACTGCAAGTCTCTAACAGTTATAAGTTGACTGTCAACACTACTTACAACTGCAAGTCTCTAACATTTATAAGCTGACTGTCAACACTACTTACAACTGCAAGTCTCTAACAGTTATAAGCTGACTGTCAACACTACTTACAACTGCAAGTCTCTAACATTTATAAGTTGACTGTCAACACTACTTACAACTGCAAGTCTCTAACAGTTAAAAGTTGACTGTCAACACTACTTACAACTGCAAGTCTCTAACATTTATAAGTTGACTGTCAACACTACTTACAACTGCAAGTCTCTAACAGTTAAAAGTTGACTGTCAACACTACTTACAACTGCAAGTCTCTAACATTTATAAGTTGACTGTCAACACTACTTACAACTGCAAGTCTCTAACAGTTATAAGTTGACTGTCAACACTACTTACAACTGCAAGTCTCTAACAGTTATAAGTTGACTGTCAACACTACTTACAACTGCAAGTCTCTAACAGTCATAAGTTGACTGTCAACACTACTTACAACTGCAAGTCTCTAACAGTTATAAGTTGACTGTCAACACTACTTACAACTGCAAGTCTCTAACAGTTATAATTGACTGTCAACACTACTTACAACTGCAAGTCTCTAACAGTTATAAGTTGACTGTCAACACTACTTACAACTGCAAGTCTCTAACAGTTATAAGTTGACTGTCAACACTACTTACAATCAAATCTTTTTCTTTCTCTTTTCTGCCTCTGCGTCTTCCAGAAGAGACCTCTGCCCAGTTACCATCTTGTTGCCTACTTGTCTCTCCATCTTTGATTTCTTTCTTAGCTCTTCTACCCCTGGAAACCACAAACAATCATGACCAATTACAGCTCTGTCTTCTTGTAAAATAATAGACAATTATACAAGATAAACATCAGCCTTCCTTCAACATGTCCCCAACAGACTGGTATTTTAGTCAAACCTGCACTGTCTACATGTCACCCACAAACTGGTATTTTAGTCAAACCTGCAATGTCTACATGTCACCCACAAACTGGTATTTTAGTGAAACCTGCATTGTCTACATGTACATGTTCCCCACAAACTGTTATTTTAGTCAAACCTGCACTGTCTACATGTCACCCACAGACTGGTATTTTAGTCAAACCTGCACTGTCTACATGTCCCCCACAAACTGGAATTTTAGTCAAACCTGCACTGTCTACATGTCCCCCACAAACTGGTATTTTAGTAAAACCTGCACTGTCTACATGTACAACATGTCCCCCACAGACTGGTATTTTAGTCAAACCTGCACTGTCTACATGTACAACATGTCACCCACAGACTGGTATTTTAGTCAAACCTGCACTGTCTACATTTACAACATGTCCCCACAAACTGGTGTTTTAGTAAAACCTGCACTGCCTACATGTCACCCACAGACTGGTATTTTAGTAAAACCTGCACTGTCTACATGTACAACATGTCCCCACAAACTGGTATTTTAGTAAAACCTGCATTGTCTACATGTACAACATGTCACCTACAAACTGGTATTTTAGTAAAACCTGCACTGTCTACATGTTACCCACAGACTGGTATTTTAGTCAAACCTGCACTGTCTACATGTACAACATGTCCCCCACAGACTGGTATTTTAGTCAAACCTGCACTGTCTACATGTACAGCATGTCACCCACAGACTGGTATTTTAGTCAAACCTGCACTGTCTACATTTACAACATGTCCCCACAAACTGGTGTTTTAGTAAAACCTGCACTGCCTACATGTCACCCACAGACTGGTATTTTAGTAAAACCTGCACTGTCTACATGTACAACATGTCCCCACAAACTGGTATTTTAGTAAAACCTGCATTGTCTACATGTACAACATGTCACCTACAAACTGGTATTTTAGTAAAACCTGCACTGTCTACATGTTACCCACAGACTGGTATTTTAGTCAAACCTGCACTGTCTACATGTACATGTCACCCACAACTGGTATTTTAGTCAAACCTGCACTGTCTACATGTTACCCACAGACTGGTATTTTAGTAAAACCTGCACTGTCTACATGTTACCCACAGACTGGTATTTTAGTAAAACCTGCACTTTCTACATGTCACCCACAGACTGGTATTTTAGTCAAACCTGTACTATCTACAGGTACAACATGTCCCCCACAAACTGGTATTTTAGTCAAACCTGTACTGTCTACACATACAACATGTCCCCCATAACATGGTGTCATCCACAAAATGATATTTTAGTAAAACCTGCACTAGGTACATCTACAATATATCATCCACAAACTGGACTGGTAAGTAAAATCTGCACTGTTCAAACATCCTGGACAAGTTCCCTATGTGTCCTTGTCTCTGTTCAAACATGTTTGGATAAGTCTTTGATTTGTGTAGCATTCTTCTAGAAAATTGTATTAAAAAAAAAAACATTTATGTCCCAATTCTTAAGTTTGTTTAGGAATTGTCGGTCTTTCACATTAGATTTTCAAAAGGGTTCTATTTCTTCCTTCTGTCATGACATATCTATTTACCCAAACATTAAAGTTTCTAGATTAATATCAAAATATCACCATGGACTGACAAACAACAAAACATCACCATGGACTGACAAACAACAAAACATCACCATGGACTGACAAACAACAAAATCACCAGGGACTGACAAACAACAAAAGTGCTGTGTACAAAGAATACAGATAACAAAATTCACATTCAAACAATTTACATAAACAATTTTGAAGCAAACAATTCACATACAAATGATTCACACAAAATTAAATTCAGAAACGTTTTTCATTAAAACATTTACATTTAAACTCTTCAAATGCAAACAATCTGCATAAATAATTAACATGTATACTGTTAAAATAATAGTAAATGTACTTAAATAATTCACAAACAAAGAGTTTAGATTAAAGCAGTTCAAAAACAGTCAGTTCACAGATAAATGATTCACACAAAAACAGTCAGTTCACAGACAAATGATTCACACAAAAACAGTCAGTTCACAGACAAATGATTCACACAAAAACAGTCAGTTCACAGACAAATGATTCACACAAAAACAGTCAGTTCCCAGACAAATGATTCACACAAAAACAGTCAGTTCACAGACAAATGATTCACACAAAAACAGTCAGTTCACAGACAAATGTCAGCATACAAACATCTCTAAGATTAAAATGTTAATATACAAGCGGCTCACATACAAACACATCAAATACAAATAGTTCCTACATAAACAGTTCCCACACGAACATTTCTCAAACAAACAATTCTCATACAAACATTTTAGACACAAAAACATCCAATACAAACAGTTCACATACAAAAATGTCAACATACACACAGTTCCCATTTAAAAAAACCTTTTGTACAAACAATTGCTATAATAAAAAATGCCATATGGGGAGTGGGGGGGGGGGGGGTCTCCGTGGCAAAATGGTGAAGCCATCTGTCCCATGCTCTGATGTTGTGGGTCCATTTGAGGTGTTCAATTCACGAATGCCGGAGCTGCAGAGGTCGTGCTTTGTGCAACTCTTTTGGCAGGCAGCTAACTGTTTTGCTGAGAGAGACTGAGCCTCATGGGATCAAACCCAGTGCAATGAAGTCGATCCTCTCACCTTGACCTTCAACAGTTGCCATACAAACAATCCCTAAACAAATAGATCTCATATAAAGTTCCCTACACAAACAGTTGCCATACAAACAATCCCTAAACAATAGATCTCATATAAGGTTCCCTACACAAATAGTTGCCATACAAACGATCCCTAGACAAATAGATCTCATATAAAGATCCCTATACAAACAGTTGTCATATAAATAATCCCTATTAAAAAAATTACCGTACAAACAACCTCTAGACAAAGAGACATCATACAAAGATCCCTATACAAACAGTTGCAATACAATCCCTAGAAAAAGAGAAGTCATATAAAGATCCCTATACAAACAGTTGCCATAAAAACAATCCCTAAACAAACAGTTGTCATACAAACAATCCCTATATAAACAGATTTCATACAATCCCCTTCACAAACAGTTGCCATACAGACAGTCCCCTATATGAAAAGTTGCCATACAAACAATCCCCTACACAAACAGTTGCCATACAAACAGTCCCCTATATGAAAAGTTGCCATACAAACAATCCCCTACACAAACAGTTGCCATACAAACAGTCCCCTATACAAAAAGTTGCCATACAAACAATCCCCTATACAGTTTCCATACATTGCTGCTGTTAGTCCCAGAGCACATTGTCTAAGAGAAGCAATCGGTGACTGTAGCCAGGTAACATGGTGGACACTGTCACATCAGAAGCCAGAAACATCCCTGGTAACAACCTGCAACATAGAGCACACACTGAATCATTTCATTACCATAGATGTCCCACTCTCATTACCACAGATGTCTCACTCTCATTACCACAGATGTCCCACTCTCATTACCACAGATGTCCCACTCTCATTACCACAGATGTCCCACTCTCATTACCACAGATGTCCCACTCTCATTACCACAGATGCCCCACTCTCATTACCACAGATGTCCCACTCTCAGTACCACAGATGCCCCACTCTCATTACTACAGATGTCCCACTCTCAGTACCACAGATGTCTCACTCTCATTACCACAGATGTCCCACTCTCATTACCACAGATGCCCCACTCTCATTACCACAGATGCCCCACTCTCATTACCACAGATGTCCCACTCTCATTACTACAGAAGTCCCACTCTCATTACCACAGATGTCCTACCATCATTAGGACAGATGTCCCACTCTCATTACCACAGATGTCCCACCATCATTAGGACAGATGTCCCACTCTCATTACCACAGATGTCCTACTCTCGTTACCACAGATGTCCCACTCTCATTACTACAGATGTCATACTCTCATTACCATAGATGTCCCACTCTCATTACCACAGATGCCCCACCATCATAAGGACAGATGTCCCACTCTCATTACCACAGATGTCCCACTCTCATTACCACAGATGTCCCACCATCATTAGGACAGATGTCCCACCATCATTAGGACAGATGCCCCACTCTCATTACCACAGATGTCCCACTCTCATTACCACAGATGTCCCACTCTCATTACCACAGATGTCCCACCATAATTAGGACAGATGTCCCATTCTCATTACCACAGATGTCCCACTCCTATTACTACAGATGTCCCACTCTCATTACCACAGATGTCCCACTCTCATTACCACAGATGTCCCACTCTCATTACCACAGATCTCCCACTCTCATTACTGCAGATGTCCCGCTCTCATTACCACAGATGTCCCACTCTCATTACCACAGATGTCCCACTCTCATTATCACATGTGTCCCACTCTCATTACCACATATGATACATTTTTTTTCCAGGAGTTGAGAGGTGTAGGGATGAGGGGTTGAAAGAGGCAAAGATGTAAGGAGGGCAGTTTGAGAGGGGCAAGGAGGATGTATGCAGTTCCATGAACATGGTGGTGGATGGGTTAGGGGGAAAGGGGGGTGGGATGGGGTGAGGGGTGCTGAGATTGACAAGTATATCTGGCAAAATGAGAAATGTTTTCAAATCAACATTTCTCTTTGTACACAAGTAGTTGCTGTTGTCATTACCAGTGAAGGTTTTCTTTAGAATAATATGAGTTCTTCTTCTCTTCTTCTTCTTCTTCGAGTTCATCAGTTGAAAGTGCTTGTTGCTGGTCTTCTAGTGCACTCTGCTCGTGTTCCAAAAATTGAGTTTTGCTATATATGAATTCACTATGACCAGGATAAGGTAAAAGGGGGAATGGCACACAGTAACATCAAAGACTTTTGATCCAAGTGATGAAGCCTTTATCAGCGGGTAGTACAAGAAGAAGAAGAGAAATCCGAGACACCACCAAACAAGGAGTACTTACATGAAAAATTTTCATCTGGGGAAGAGAACAGCCAGGGTAAATCTATTTATGAAGAAGATCAGATCAGAGAAAGATGGACAGAATATTTAGAATCTTTCCTCAATATACCCGACAATGGGAACATACCATCATTCAAACCGAGAGACACACAAGAAAAATAACGTGAAATCTTAAAACAGGAGGTCTAAAAAGAAGTCCAGAGAACAAGACAGCAGGAATTGATGGGATAACAGCAAAGGGAATAAAGGGAATGAAGGGAATGAAGGTGTGTGAGGATACTGGAGTAACCTGGTCACTTCACATCTTCAAGAAGGCGTGGGAAGAGAGACATGTCCCAGCAGACTGGCAAAAAGCCATCATCATACCAACGTGGAAGAAGGAAGAGAACAAACAAGACTGGGGCACAGATAGGGGTATCTCACATCTAATCCATGCTGGTAAAATGTCTGCAAGAATCCTAGAACAGTGAATAAGACCACTTGCAGAGCCATCACTTTGCTAGCACCAGTTCACATTCAGAAAGGGCTGCAATGATGTGCTCCATCAATAAGCTAGCACCAGTTCACATTCAGAAAGGGCTGCAATGATGTGCTCCATCAATAAGCTAGCACCAGTTCACATTTAGAAAGGGCTGCAATGATGTGCTATTTGTCCTAGGGCAAATCAGTGACAAGACAACTGAGCAAAATAATTCAATGGGATTAGCTTTCATATATCGAGAAAAGGCATTTGATAGAGTAAACAGAGCTGTTCTTGAAAATGATGGAGTAAAAGGTACATTGTTAGACTGTATAAGTCATGGAAGTGCCACAAGAACAAGAGCTGGAACCACAGGCTGGTTTCTGGTAACATCCGCAATGAGACAAGAATGTGTTCTATCGCCCTTGCTCTTCATTATTTATATCACCAACACTGAAGAAACAGCAAAAACAAACCACCAACCAAACTACTTTATTGAACTGATCTTTACCGACAATTATTGCTTATTCTACAGTAAAACCGAACAACTACAGGAATACATTAAGGCACTCCACAATAGTTGTCTCAAGAACAACATGAAAATCAACATTACAAAATATCAATATAAAAAAAAAAAATCATGAATATAAATATGAAGCATCAAAATATAAACATAAATATTCAAAAACATTCACTAAAATATGTGGGCGAATTCAAATATCTTGGAAGCGCCGTCACACCAGACAGCAGACACCAGACTAGACAGCAGACTAGACAAAGACAGCGAGTCCAGAATTCAGCAAGCCAACACAGTAACCTACCAACTTTTCCCAGTACTGAAACACCCCACGGGAAACTAAGACAAATTATAAACTCAATATTTTTTACCAACATTGTGTCACCAATGCCAAACCAAGGCATTAATCAAAGATCAAGAGCTGAAAATAAC